GTAACTGAGAGAGGATTTACAGACGTTTCCTTTTTCTTTATCTTATCTCGTAACTACGAGATCTTTTCTTGTAATTACGAGATATGGTGTCAATTTTTTTTTTATTCAGTGAATGCAATGCGCTTCCGTAGTTTTCATCCAGGCCCGGTGGATTCTTGTAAATGTCATTAGGAGCATTAGTAGGAGCCAGAGGAACAGATCATATATCATGTTATTATTATTATTATGTACTACTGTTAGGATATAGCAAATATAACAAAAAGGTATTTTTATTTATATCGATTTTTTATTTTTATTTAATAAAAGCTACCTATTGCAGCTTTAACTTTAGCCCTCAAACACAAAGACTCTATCAGAGATTAGAGGAGGGTCAGTCAGCTAAAGTTTATCCAGTTCCAGGAGAAAAACCTAAGCGGCTGTTGTTACATCATGTTAAACTGACGTAAGATATTTTGAGCAGTGTATTGTATGGGGAAAAAAAACAACAGCTGCCCTCAAATGATTTTTGTTCCCACTGGAGGTCAGAGTTCAACTGCTTTTTTGTTTACCACTATGTTCTTAGTCTAAATCCTTCACTCTTATGCAGAGGAAAAAAACAACTGAGGGCATGAGGAGATGAATTACATCACAGTATCAGACTTTCTTTTTTTTTTTTAAAGCTGACCTGAGTCAACTGTCCTCTCTCTCTCTCCTCCAGGCATTACAGCATGGTTTCTTTGACTTTGAGAGTTTCAATGTTGAGGAATATGAACATTATGAGGTGAGACATTATCATCAACTCACACTCACTCTGTTTAAAATGTTGCATACAGTTGGAGTACCTCAGTCACTGCATCTACTTCTGCAACATCTCTATGTTTTTAGCGAGTGGAAAACGGGGATATGAACTGGATCATTCCAGGGAAAATTCTGGCATTCAGCAGCCCTCACTCTCGCAGTAAGATAGAGAACGGTGAGTCAAACCTTTCCGCTAAAGTGGAATTAACAGAAACGTCCTGCATTAGTACTTAAATCTACTATAATTCAGTGCTAAGAAATCATAATCAGTGTGTTTGCAGGTTACCCTCTCCACGCACCGGAGGCATACTTTGCATACTTTCGACAAAATGACGTCACAGCCGTAGTCCGTTTAAACAGGAAGTTGTATGACGGCAGGCGGTTTGAGGATGCAGGATTTGAGCACCATGACCTCTTCTTCCTGGATGGGACCACGCCCTCTGACCTCATCGTCAGGCGCTTCTTGCACGTGTGTGAGAGCACTGAAGGAGCCGTGGCTGTGCACTGTAAAGGTAGGAGTGGATGTGTTTGCAGAAGATCGTGCAATGTATATAGTTATATCTATAGAGAGTGTGTTAAAAGTGCGACTGAGTGTCTAGGTGTCAAACATTTTCTTCATTTGCTAAAAACACAGCTGGCCTGGGCCGGACAGGCACTCTGATTGGCTGCTACCTGATGAAGCACTTCCGGTTCACTGCAGCCGAGGCCATCGCTTGGATCAGAATCTGCCGGCCCGGATCCATCATCGGCCCCCAGCAGAACTTCTTAGAGGAGTGAGTTTCAGTCTCAGTGGTTGCTTATTTCTCTTTTGGTGAGATGTGAGGCTTCTGGAATACAGATATTCAAGCTTACAGCCATTTTGGTTCCTTAACCACTGAAATGCATCAAATGCCATCAAATTATGTATAGAGGATGAATTCTCATGATTTGACATAACGTTTTGCACCAATAGGTTAGATTTTTTTGTACCAGGCAGTAAACATGTTCATTTCTGCTTATGGAGATTGACTCGCTTTTGAAGCCAGCCTCAGGTCAAGTTTTTGTTACTTCCATGTTGGCTTCATTCTTCAGCCACTGAGGTTGCCTGTTGGCTAAACAAAAGCATGTTAGCACTGTCAGTGTTAGCATGTTAGTATGCTCATGTTACAGTGCTTAGGGACCTAAGTACAGCCTCATAGAGACGCTAGCATGGCTGCAGACTCTAAGTCTTGTTAAATCCTGTTTATCTAATAACAAATGAGGCAAGTGTGTAGTGAGTTCTTTTCTTATATCTGTTTATTTTTAAACTTTTTTTCTACTGATAAATATATATATAACGACTGTAAATGTGCTCTTAGTGACTGTAAAAGCTCAGGCAAACTGTCTGCTTCCAGCGTGGACAGTGAGAGTCTGACAGCAGCTGGTTAGCTCTGTTAGCTCTGACTATCCCAGCTGCCTTTTAAAAATTTCTGGTAAGGAGGGAGCTAGCAGAATTTAGGGGTTCAGTTATACTTTCATCAGGTAATTCATCATGGTGTTACCAAAATGATGCGGGAGACAGCACTGCATTTCTTTTTTGTCAATTATTGTGCACAGAAAAGATTTTCTAGCCACAACTATACCTGAGTCAAGAATCTGACAGGCTGTGACTTATGTCTGTGAAAAGCACTAAATTAATACATGTTACTTACTCACAGTATATTCTGTGCCTTGTGTGTGTGTGTGTGTGTGTGTGTGTGTGTGTGTAGAAAACAGCACAGTTTGTGGGTCCAGGGTGACGTCCATCGCTCCAAACAGAAGCTGGTTCAGCAGAGACTGAGTCGACGGCAGCAGCTACAGCAGCAGAGTCAACAGCAGCAGAGTCAACAGCAGCAGCTTCACAGGCCCGACTCTGACGGAGGGAGACAGGAAGCCATGTCCTGCCTGCTCTCCAGCATGGATGACCTGTCAATCAACACCACCCTTTACAAATCATACAGCTTGGATGAGGTGAGGGGCGGGACTAAAAATAAATGAGGAGGATTTAAAACTATAAAAAGACACTTGATTTATGTGGATATCTTCAATGTTCTATCCATACTGATAATGAATACTTTCTCTCTCTCCCTCTTTCTGTGTGTATAAATGTGTGTAGAGTAACTGTAAGGAAGGCGGTCTAACTCAGGGAGACAAACTAAGAGCACTGAAGGGAAAACGACCACCTCGATCAGCCTCCTCCTCCTCAAGGTACAACTTAGTGATAACTTCTAGGGTTATGGTTAGGCATGTAACCTACGACGGACTTGATTTCACTCATGGGGGTTATATTTTAGAGATTATAGCTCACCCAGTCTTTTGTGCCAGTTGAAATACCTTTAAAGTACCAATACAACCCATAAAATGCAGTTTTCCACTTGCCAAAAAGTCATTTGAGCTCGTACCTTGTCACTGAAAGGTTTTCCTCACTAAAATACTTTACTAATACTAATTTCTTAGGATATTCCAACCATCCCCCACAGTGTTGGCACTAGAGGCAAGCACATGAGAGATGTGCCTCAGCTAAAATTTCCATAAAATGAACTCCAGGAGTCAAAGCAGATACCATCACCCTGGCAACCCTTAATTGCAGAGCACAGCTGATTAAGATGAGCTGATTACAGTTTGACAGACATGCACAGACAGACACACAAACACATTTTCATCATTATTTTTCAAGCATTAAACTCAATTAAAACCTTATAATGTTTTTAATACATTATCACATTTATTCAACTTTTCAGTCCCATTCATAGACTATTTCTCACTTTTCCAACTACAAAGCCATAGTGTCAGCTTTTCAACAAACCTTAAAGTCTTCCACTTTTCTACAGGTTATAAACATCATTTAACCTGTGCAGCCAGTAAATCAGTTTTTAGTGTCAGCTTTTCAGCAGCCTTTCTTCTCTAGTTAACTTAATACAACTCTGTAAATAGAGTAAACAATAAACAGTAAGGCTGTTATCAATTCGATTAAATTCTAGATTAACACTGCCTTGTTTTCTTTGAATCGTTTGTGTGAAGAATTTGAATCAAAACTAGAAATGGCAGACCCCGCCACTAACTAGTGATAATAAATACAGATAAAAAATAAATAAAATCGGTATTTTTATATATGTTAGGTATCGTATCAAATTTCAAAACATTGGTATCGCATGTTTTGAAATTTGATACGATACTTAACATGTATAAAAATACCGATTTTATTTATTTTTTAAACAATTTTACTGATACCTATGATTTTTAAATGGGTATGTGATTTTTTTAAATAATGGTAATTTTTAGACAAAATGTTACATTTAAAGGCCAAACACATAGCACATACCAATGGCAGTCTCCCTTCTCTCTTACATTCACAACACAAGTCTGTGTGAATATGCACGACTGTGTGTGCCCGCGTGCTTGGTTCTCACGTCTCATTTCCACCGTCATATGACACAGACTATCTCAATATGTCAGGGCTGTTTTAGCACAAACATTAAAATAGCGCACATGAAAACGTTTGGCAATGGTGCAGCCACCCACATTTTGATTTATGTAACTGTATTATCACTAATTTATTAAAGACGTCAATACCAAATGAGTAACTTGTGAGTATCAAAGTATCAATCCTTGGGATTGATCCACCCATCCCTAACACCAATGATAAAAACTACTATGTAGTTGTTACTGAATATAAATACATTGAATGGCTATTGCCGTGGTCCATCTACACAGGCGTTTCCACTTATTTTGCCTGATTAGACTGAGTGAGGGCTGTGTGGGTGTGTACAGAATTTGCTTGATTGACATCTGTCGGACCCTCCTATTTGTCTTGCATTAAACCTTTATCATTCTTATTGGTCCCTGTAGGTTGGTGACCTCACTTTATTCCAGCACAGCTCAACCCAGCTTCAACGTGCGTGTGCAGAAGAAGTGAAAACCTCTGTGTGGGTGTGCAGGGCTTTTAAGGATCACATCTTTAACCCTTTAAATGTGTTGTTCTAATATTCAGTTCATTCATGGTTTCTACCTATGCAGCATAAATATGTAATTTCATTGCGTTTTCATGAGTCAGCTGATAGCATTTGTTTTTTTGTCTGTCATCATATTTTACTCATCCTACATACATCAGTCCTGCTTTTGAAAAATGTCCAATCAAATTTTCACATAATGCTGTTATTGTTATTTGCTTTATATTTTATGGTTTGGAAAATATTACATGCATATGTTATAATCAGTTAATTCCTTTGTGTTTCTTATTCAGGTTAAACCTGTCCAAGGCCTCTCATTGCTCCATTCTCCCACCCCCTAAGCCCACTAAAGTCCCCCTCTCCTTCTCCTCCTCTAAGAAGCTGATTCGGAGCTCCTCCTCCTCTGGCACGCAGATCAGGAGGTGAGTGTCTACTTTATGATCTTGTTCCTTTTCAAAGGCAGTGCAGTCAGTTGGATCAAAACTATACGGCACGAACAGATAAACCATTATTTCTCATGTCACCCTCAGGATTAAATAAAAGGATGGCAGAGACATGAATCAATATGAATTCTAAAGTAAATTCTTCTCTTACTCTCTGTCTACTGTATGTCTCTCTCCCCAGCCCCTTCAGCCTCAGTCTGTTCAGCACCAGGCCTGCCATCATTCACTGACTTCACAGTCTGAGCTTCTGCTCAGCCGGCTGATGATGAAGTCAAAAACTGGACTGCCAACATGCTGTGGTTGTCTGGGCCTTAAACATTTTATCAACCTTGACAAATTTTTAATCTGACAAAGTAACTGCACGGCACCTTTTAATATAGAGATTCACCGATTCAAGAGCTTTGTAGAGTCAACTCCAAATAAAGAAACATATATTTCTTTACTGATATCAATATGTGTAAGGGCTACACCAGCTTTGTAAAAGTGTCGCTCATTGGACACGATACTGGCACCAAAACTCATCTCCATGTCTCCAGTAGAATATAAGTTAAAGAAAAACACAGAATTGTAGAAAAGCAATGTAATTTCACATACAGGTAATTAACAATGAACAAAGCTTAATTAACTAATGGGTTTAATAATGACAGAACTACATACTAGTATGCTGAAACACAGCTGTTAAGTACTCTTTACACAAGTAAAGGTCCAGTGTGTAACATTTAGGATGATCTATTGTCAGTAATGGAATATAATATTCATAGGTATGTTTTCATTGTGTATAATCACCTGAAAATAGAATCATTGTGTTTTTGTTACCTTAGAATGAGCTACTTTTATCTACAGAGGGAGTTTCTACCAAGTCCGCCATGTTGTAGCCCAGAATGGACAAACCAAACACTGGCTGTAGATAGGGCAATTTTTTGCTTCCCTTGGAAGTGAGGGAGTTGTAAACTGTAACTACACCACTAGATGCCACTAAATCCTACACACTGGACCTTTTTTAAATAAAATAAAAAGTAATAAAAAATATATATTTTTATTATTTTTTGATTAAAAAAAAACACATTGGCTTTAGCTCATGCAAAGCAAGGGTTTAACATTTTTTACTGATTCATACCCTTAGTCCATCCTGATGGCCTTATTCTATAAAGAAATAGAAGAAAGTTCTCCAACAAAACCTTAAAAAACGCAATCACTTAAGATTCAGATAAGATTTCCAGTATTTTTAACATTTCTTAGTGGTGTGTTTCAAGGAAAAAGTCAAGTGTTCCATAACATACATTTTCGGAACTATTTATATCCGTCAAGACTGTTGGAGACTCTTTACTACACACTGTAAAGTGAAAATAGTAATACAACAAGTTAAAAATACAAAAAAATCCTACTTAAAGAACTAGTGTGTAGCATTTTGTGGCATCTAGCAGTCCTGGGAATGAGAACGGGCTGTGAAGAGTGTACATTGGCAACCAAACTCGCAAACGGCTCCATCTACAACCACTGTTATATGAGCCTTCTAAATGTTTTACACTGGACCCTTTAAGTTAGAGGAGTATCATCAGAAAAATGTACTGTACTACTAACAGTTGTGTAAAAAGCAAGCCAGGTGTTTTCCCACCCAGCCAGCCTGAGTAACTCGGAGTTGACATTACATCACAGTACTGAATCTGGACTCGCAAAGTGTTTTTGTTTACTCATGATCAGCAGTGACTGGAAGAACACCCCTGGATGCAGCGGCATGTGTACTCCAACACTGGACTACAGATCAGAAGAAGGTTGCCAGGTTTTGATTTTCCATCTGTATCCCCCGTTTAATGTAACACCGTGTTCAAACAATGTAGAAATAACATCAGTAGAGTGTAAACAATGCCATATGATTCTCAACTGCAACTGCACTTCATTAGTAGAACCTTAATATACTCAATGTTTCTGACAAAAAAACTTACTTATTAGTAAATGTTTTGAATCAAGCAAGGAACACTGAGTATATGGGCAGATTATATACATACACAGTAGGTCAGTACAGATTTATCAAACAAAACAAGGCACAGAAACTTTGGATCACAGGGGTTCAAATGCTACTAATAAAATGTTTATTAACATATTTTTGTTTTTTAGTCAAAAATGTCACTCATGCAAGTCATTCATAAAGGGAAATGTTTCTGTGTGTGTGTGTAGCTGTGTTAGAACATGCATCTCTTTTATGATCAATGTACTTTGTTTTATGTTTTTTGTTTGTTGCACAGTGAACAGTAATCTTGCTATGCAAATGCTGTCCAGTTTTGAAACTGTGCGGCCGCTATTAAAATGTATGAATCTGGTCATGGACTATGTGAGACCATCATTGCTGGGGCTGTTTTGTGAATGTGTTCTGATCACTGGTTGATTTATTTTATATGCAGTTTGATAAGATAGCTGCCTTTAGTGTTGCTGCAGAGATTTCTATTTTTGAAATGAAGAATAAATATTGCTGCTGATGAGAAAATGATCCAGGTTACCCTTGATTGTGTATGTATATGAGTTAATGGGGGGAATGTGGAACTACATGGTAACACCATCATGGTTGAAGGTTTAGTTATTCAGAAAAAATAATCTTGATTTTTTTTTAAAGTAGATATTTTTCACCTCATATTGACTGTATTTGTACTTGGCACATTCAGGAAAAAACAGAAGTCAAAAAATGAAACCCTTTATGAAGCCAGTTTTGTCTCCATCCTCAGGGTTGTCTTGGTAACTGGTGACCTTTGTCATCACATCACTAAAGATACTGAATAAACATGCAGAAATGATGTCAAATGTAATTTGGTAGGGCACAGTAAGTAAAAAAATGTCAAAATCATCTCTTAACCTTCACACTCATTGATAGAAACTCAATATCTCAATTTATAGTTGAATTCAAATACTGTTCTGAAGATCAGAGTGCGCTGTTATGAATTAGAAAGAAGTAGCAGGGGAAGTTAGCATTATAATCCTAATGTTGAGTTTCTGTGCTTGTTGGTGCTGATCCATTTACAATATCCATCATATATCCATTAAAGTGACTGTAGAAACATGGCATGATGATATTTCTAGGTGATTATACACTAATG